TTCCGCAGCCTACTGTCGCACGCGCACGCTCGCTGTTTATCCAGCACCGGCTTTGGAATCAACAATGGCAGACATCCCAACCTGCAAGAAGTCATTTCAGGGAGGTATATCTTGGTGACTGGATTGTTGACGGGGGGGGGTGGCGGCCCTGGCGGGTTGACTAGCTTTCGTGAGGCACACTCGCAAGGTCTCTCGCTTTCTCCCTCTCTGCCGTGCTCGCGCTATGTATGTTATGCGCGCAGTATGTTCTGTCTCGCATGCGCGCTCTAGATTCCGGCAGATTTGAACTAATTTGCGGGCATCAGGGAGACGCTATAGACTTGGGATGTCTGCAATGGCCATAGACAATTTGAGGAAGTGGTGGGGGAAGAGACGTATGCCGTAAAACAGTCGCGTTTTGTAGTTCTTTTTGTGCTCGGGTTACTACCCGAAACCCGAAGTTACATAGTGCGAGTAAAAGCGATACAAACCACGTCAGGCTATGGCAGACGTGTCATTTAACCTATTGTAAGTCGATGTACCATCACAAGGGTCTTGGAAATATATTATGAAGGTTGAAAAGTTCCATAGTGTTGCTTTAATAATGTTTGAAAATTATATTTTTTATTTACATAGAATTTGCTCATTTGCATTCCATGTAAAAAGTCTGGCGAGTAAAATAGAAAATTTAATAGCCAATGGCGACTCGAGCATCTGTGTGTCCGCAGAGGGTTGTTTATTATTTTTCAAAAAAAGGGGGGAAACTGTCTGAAAAAGCTGTTGCTATTCAAAAACACTAATTGTATCTAAATATTCAGTGGTCTTAAATACAACTCTCCCTACAATTTTGCTTGCTTGGCACTACCGCTGGGAGGAGAAACAAATGGTTTTAATTACTTTACCCCTGTTATAACTGACACAAGATCAGCTAAAGTAAACAAAAAATGGTCCTGAAGCCTGCTGAGAGACAGTATAAAGCAGCAAGAGGAACCCTGCCATACAGGAGATACAGTCCTGTCCTTCAATGTGTCCAAAATGAATAAATACTTTGACTTTTCATTTAGACGTTTCCCATTTATACATTAGGAATTGATTGGATCATGAAAATGGTTTCGGAGGTGATTAGATTAGAGCGGGTTTGAAAAATAAGTCAAAAAGGAAATTTGTTTCAGAGGTGGAGCAAGTCATCACATTCTAATGAAAGATAAAACATTTTTTCTTTTAAATAATGCACTCTGATGAATCATTTACAGTTTCCTTACACAAAACCAGGAACTATATAAAGGAAATGGGGTCAATTTTGATTTCATGTTGACTTTAACTGGGTGTTCATTTTGAATATATTAAAAATGGTAATTACCTAGGCTATAGTGTGTAAACTGCTTTCCTTAGTCAGTGGGAAGACCATTAAAACACTCAGGCAGAACCATCCTTTCTTCACAGCAAGCTTATTCATCTTGATACTGAACCACTAACATTCTATCCACATACAACAAATTTAAAGGCTACACATCTAAAGCACTTAAAAAATAAATAAAAAAAAAATAAATAAAAAAAAACACCCTCCCCTTCCCACGCCATAGGCTATATTCTGGATTTCAAGAAACTTAACTGCCAAACCAAGATTGTCAACTTCCTGTTTAACCCCAATCTTCACCACACCTGTCCCACACTGGACTCATCTTGTGAGCATGAAGGTAACAGCAAGCGCTATGCGAACTTACCGGCCGTGTGCAAATGCCCCAACCAACCAGCAGCCTAGGGCGACAAGAATGTGGACAATAATGGGGGGGGGAGGAGGAGGAGGAGGAGGAGGAGGAGGGGGAGTGAAAAAAAAGTTGATTTTAGTCAAATGTGACTAAATGATTCCATTAAATGACAAAGTAAAATCAGAGAAGAATTAAATTACAACTGCAGACTAAGGTGGCAGCCATTTTGTTCAGTAATATAATCAAAACTGATGCCAAATGTGATTCTTTGATATGCAAGACATTTTTGAAACACTAAAACTGACTGTAATATCATAAGAAAAGGGATGAGAAATACTGAATGAATAGGCTATACTTAATCACACTCTATAACCCCTATATGACTTTAGATGAGATTATAAAATGAGGCTCTAACCACATTCAGCAGCAGTGATAGGGATAGAACACATTTTAACTTAATAAACTAAGCTTGTTTCATGCATTACTACCATAATTGTGCCTCTCCTACTCATTCAATTGAAAAAGGTACAAATTATGTTCACTAATTAGGCTAGGCATTGTACAAACATCCCACAGATCAAGTATGCTGCTTTTCTATATATGAGGATAATAGAGATTTTTTTTTAGATGTTTAACGTTACATTTAAGTGTGCGTCATTAATATAAACAGTATTTATATCCATATCATTAATAAAATAATCTACACATACAAACGAAATTAACGTCCGAAGAGATCGTGACGCATAAAAACGGTGTCTAGGTCGTCAGCTCGCGAGGTTTTTAAAGATAGCCGTTAACATTCAAATATGGTGGATTTTGACAAAAGATATTATGATTTTTTGTTCAAACGAGCCTAAAGGCCTTCCTTCTCACAACGACAACACCACCATTAAAGCTACTTCGGCAAGCTAAGCAACGTCCACGACATTCAAACTACTAAACGTCAAATATACAACCCAAAACACAAACATTTACAGAACCGAACATGAAAAGCGCTAATTTCGACCATAACGCCAAACATTTAACAAACAGCTCAAAACATGTCAAACATACCCTGTGCAGTGAGCACACTACTGAGACTTCTAACGTTACTTCCCTAAAGAGAGGGTGAACTGTTGTCGACGATTAGAGTTGAATTCCTTCATATGACCATAAAAACAAAACCAACCCATCGCTAGATCCAATCAAGCGCAGTTTGCTGACTGGGGATTGTGCTGCCGTGTGTATTTGGACTGTTGACATGAAAATACGACATGATTATGAAGGCCGTTCTCAGCACAGGCCTGAGTCGATCCTTTTGTTTATTTTGCCCAGTCCATGAAACAAACTCCAATCAGCCTAGACACAGCTTACTGTCCTTACACAACCTAACCACACACAATTTCACCTCACAAAAACATACACGAGTTTAGTTATTTATAAATAAACAAAATACAGCATGATAAGTTGATTTTCGCACTCCAAGGCCTTACACACCGGTCTCGCGTTTTGTGGCCCTGCATAGGCGCTTTTGCCAATTCAAAACATCTGCGGTGGTTCTATGAAAATGCTTGGACATTCAAAACTACGTTGCTACGGTTGTTGTAAGGCACCACAGTGAACAACACACGATGGGTAGATAATTTAAGTGAAGTTAACGAAGTCCAGGTGATAATCACGATCAGCTAATACTAGCCCTCACGCTAGCCATGCTAAGTTAAATAAAACACTCAAAACCATCAGAGTATCTAGCCACTCACAAATTAACAACATTTTAAGACTGACAAACACCTTGAAATAGTTTTAAGCTTTGGATAAGAAAAAGGCCACGGTTTTGTGTTCAGCTGTCTTTGGTGCTAACGTTAACTGTTAGCACGGCTAAGCGATGCTAATCTGCTGAAGGGACGAAGCGTGACAAGCGATTATCAACAAATAACATGCATTAATTACAACAGCACAAAAAACATAGTATAATGTGACCATTCAATACAATAACACTAAAAAGAGGAAGACTGTACCGTCGCTGTCAGTATTTGGCCTACATATGGCAAAGCTAAAGAGCAAAGCCGGTCTCCTGTCGACGTGTATGCGGGCAAGATCAGGTCAAAGTGACTGAAGACGTAAACAAACTACCAGCACCAGCAAACTACACTAATCAACATTCACCTGAACACGACTGGATACAACAGACAAATCCACACTTGTGATGCATCGCAACTTCCTCATTTAAATTAACGTTAGACGTTTTGTGACATTACTAACAAATAAAGGAGAAATAGAGAGAAACTTGAATTCATTTCTCGTTACCTTCTAGTTCGTGGGCGAGAATATTATTTATTTTAACAGATCTCTAAACTGGCCCATCCCTTAAAAAACTAACAAAATCACCAGAAAATAAGTCGTCATATACATTGTGCTACTCAGATGCAGGTCTCATCATTATGGTTATAATGTCCTGAATATTTATTTCAAAGGGGATGTAAACGAGTCTCAATTCGCTCTCGATATCTCTCCAAAGTTATTAAAAAAGATTCGAGTGGCTCATTGTCTGTACCATCATACCAATGCCAAACAGTGAATATATAACACTAATACATAAACAGAAACAAACAAGGGAATCATGAAAAGGACTCGAGGGATGACAACTGGAAACCATTTTTTTCTTTCGTCTGGCTTTTCTCACTCATATTACACGGCTGCTGATTCACACGAAGGGTTCCGATGCGCATAGGACGTAAGACGATCCCCGGACATTGAAGTTAAATATATATATATGTATATTTTTGGTGTTATTGTAATTACCTATTTGTTCCAGTGTTGTAGTAGCTGTTAGACACAGTGCAGCAGCAGCAGCTTTACCTTCATCAGCTGAGCGACCTGCGAACTGCCGCATCACATCCGCTCCCACAGCGCTCTGTGCTTCCGCAACGCACTACTTCCAACACTAAAGAACAACGATTATGACAGCCGAAGCCTTATCAACCACTGCGACTACGAGAATAACGTTCATTGGAGCTATTCCGAACGGGTTGTGTCACCATTAACCCCGCGCTTTATGAGTGTATCACTAGTGCATCAGTAACGTACGTCAAGATTTCATAATATCAATCCGCCGGGTCGTGACCCCCTCAACACCACCATCTTAAAAAACCGTTCACCCTTACATCATGTTGTGTTAACTATTTTTTAAATTATTTTAGACGTATGTGTTTCTGTCAAGCCAGATGTGAAAATGTAAAAAAAATAAAATTAAAAAACACCTTTCTGTAAAAAAAAGTATCGTTTTTTTTGTATACCAGTTGTCATGGTAACAATTAAGCGTCCACTCCAAATATGGCATCTCTGCTGGATGAAATTCTGTTTGAAACTGCTGGACAAGGTCCACCTCCCTCTAAAGACTTCTACCAATTTTGTATCACACAAAAAGAGGTATTTAACTGTAGCCTACACAAAATGATAATTCAACTGAGATTACGAAGGGACAAATATTTAAATGTGGTGGTCAATTTTTGCTTTACGTTACCTGAATTGCAAAAACAGCATATTGTCTGTCATGTCTGACAAGCAAAATAGATTATCCTGTTAAAGTCAGCATGAAACAGAAGTTGCAATTGTCTTTTTTCCCTATTTGTGATATGTATATCGGAGCAAAACGGCTTCTCGAAAAAGAAAACTGTAGGGCGGGATTTGATTTTGTCCATCAGGAATTAATTGTGGTTTGATATTGGTCAATCTCATATGAGTGACAGGTTGTCCCGCCCTCGTGCCAGTGGTGACGTCATCAGAGAAGAGATGTCTCTGCAAGAGGGAGGAGAAATTATTGTGATTAAAGATTACGAGGGCACATGCATTTAAAAAAAAAAAATGTGCACGGATGAATCATTTATAATCATTATGTCAATATTCCATAAAAATTCTTTAACTTTAACATAACATCTGTCATACTAAGATAACAAAAAAAAACATAAATGTTTATATAGTCATATTAAGCGTTTCATAACTCTTTATTACCAACAGCTTATATGGAGATGGTGGAAGATTTCAGTCCGAACTGAATTCAGAGGGACAGCACCTGGAGAGATCAAAATGTTCCACCATGACTTTTTGAATGATTCAAAGTTGCAGGGTAACAATCCAGTCTGAGTTATTCTCCAGCTTTACATTTAAATATGTGATCCGACTTGTAATCATGTTTTGTGAATGCTATTCCTGATTTTAGAGCAGTTAGCTGTGGTGTTTGGCACCAGGACTCTGGAGTACACTTTGGCTTTGTGTCAAGGGCATTTTGACTACCTGGAACGCTTACCTGACCGGCTGCTCCTTAAAATCCTTTCCTACATGTCCATTCAGGACATTGGCTGTCTCAGCCAAACCTCAAACAGGTTTAAGAAGGTTAGAACAATACTCTGTCCCTTTCTCTGTTTTTGTTGTTGTTGTTGTTTAGCCAAATGAAGGTTTCATGTCTGTCAAATAATATTTTACATGGTAAAAATGTAGGGATTTTTCTATATTTTGAATCTGTTTTATTATTACTGATCATTGCTAAAGAAAACATCACTATTACTATTGCTCATAACCCCAAACACTAAGTAGCCTATTAAAGGGATAGTTCACCCAAAAATCAAAAATAAGTCATTAATTACTCCCTCATGTCGTTCCAAACCCGTAAGACTTTCGTTTATCTATGGAACACAAATTAAGCTCTTTTTGATGAAATCTGAGAGCTTTCTGTCCCTCCATTGACAGCTACGCAACTGACACTTTGACGCTTTAAAAAGTTCATAAAGAGATCGTAAAACTAATCCATATGAATTGAGTGTTTTAGTCCAATTTTTCTGAAGAAACTCAACTGCTTTACATGATGAACAGATTTAATTTAGGCTTTTATTTACATATAAACATTGATCAGTGAACATAAACAGAAGCTCAACTGAACCTGCTTGACATTCGAGAACAAACCTTGTTGGTTCTTGCAGAAGCTCAAACGTGCTTCGTAACATGAGAATGAACCTAATTGGTTCTTGCAGAAGCTCAAACGTGCTGCGTGACAGATGAGAATTAATCTCATTGGTTCTTGAGGAAGCTCAAACACACGAGAATTAATCTCATTCTTTCTTCCAGAAGCTCAAACATGCTGCGTAACACACAAGAATGAATCTTATTGGTTCTTGAGGAAGCTCAAATATGCTGTGTAACAAGGGAATTAATCTAATTGGTTCTTGCAGAAGCTCAAACATGAATCGTAACACGAGAATGAATCTCATTGGTTCTTGAGGAAGCTCAAACGTGCTGCGTAACACACAAGAATTAATCTCATTCTTTCTTGCAGAAGCTCAAACGTGCTGCGTAACACACGAGAATGAATCTCATTGGTTCTTGCAGAAGCTCAAACATGAATCGTAACACGAGAATAAATCTCATTGGTTCTTGCGAAAGCTCAAACGTGCTGTGTAACACGCGAACGAACCCCATTGGTTCTTGCGAAAGCTCAAACTGTTAGGAAACGACTGGAAGCAAACTGCAAAAATAAAGTCTTTTATGACAAAACTCAGAGGTACTGGTCAGACACAAATAACACAGAGACAACAGCACAGGGCGAGTGACGCAGGGACCTCGATAGGAAACCGGGTGGTGGTGATGGTCAGTGGTGATAATCCAGTCCGGGAAATGTTGAGAGTGCAACGGCAGTGCAGACACGGTGAACAAATCCAGACGACGAAGACCACGAAGAAGACCACAACGAAGACCACGACACGGAACAGGAACCAACACAGGAACATACCAAAACGATCTGACAACAAGATATATCAGTCACAGAGAATATATAATACTAATCACATGCACACACATAATCACGAGACATGAAGAAGGCAGAGAATTGAAAAACCGTGACAGTACCCTCCTCTCTAGGAACGCCGCCTGGCGTTACCTGACTCCCTTACCTGTCGATTGTAATCATCGATAAGAGAGTGATCCAGGAGGTCCCTAGCAGGTACCCAACTTCTCTCCTCCGGACCATAACCTTCCCAGTCCACCAGATACTGAAATCCTCGTCCCCTCCGTCTCGAGTCCAGAATACGGTTAACCGAATAAGTAGGTTCCCCATCTACGAGACGCGGTGGAGGGGGAACCGGGACTGGCGGACTAATGTGAGAATAAAACACGGGCTTGATCTTTGACACATGAAAAGCGGGATGAATTCTCCTGTTGGCAGGAGGTAGTTTGAGTCGGACCGTCACCGGACTAATGATCTTGGTGACGGCAAATGGGCCAATAAATGTGGGAACTAGTTTTTTAGAGATGGAGCGCAAAGGGATGTTCTTGGTAGAAAGCCACACTTTTTGACCAACGACGTATACGGGAGGTTTCGACCGGTGGCGATCGGCCGTAGCCTTGGTGTGTGCCCCCACTTGGAGCAGAGTCTCGCGGGCTCTGGTCCATGTGCGGTGGCACATCTGGAGAAAAAAGCGGGCGGAGGGGACCGCGACTCGGAAAAACAGGTGGCTAGTGAACCTAAGCTACCTTCAAACGGAGATGGACCCGTGGATGACACTGGTAACGAATTATGAGCGTACTCCACCACCGCCTTCGAGAACCGGTCCACTACGGTCAAAACGACCGTCATACCCTGAGAGGGTGGGAGGGCGGTGATAAAATCTAGGGCAATGTGGGACCAGGTTGGAGTAACCCATCTGGGGGTCGGTTGGAGGTCTTACCAGTGGCACAAACCGAGCAAGTCAAAACAAACTGCGGATGTCACGAGCCATTAATGGCCACCAAAATCGTTGCTTGACCAAAAAACTGGTACGATTAACTCCTGGATGACAAGCTACGTTGGAACAATGCCCCCATTGAATAACGTCAGACCGTAACTCCTCCGGCACAAATAATCGGTTCGGTGGACCCCCAGGCGGAGGCGTTACCCCTTCTAAGGCTGTCTTGACCTTTGATTCGACCTCCCATGTGAGTGTGGAGACAATTAGGTTATCTGGTAAAATGCACTCGGGAGTAGACGGGCGTTCGGAACGATCAAAAATGCACAATAAAGAATCGGGTTTGATGTTTTTAGAACCCGGGCGGTACGAAAGAGAAAAATCAATATGTCATCCAGGTAAACATATATGAACTGATCAACCATATCTCGCAGCATGTCGTTAACGAGTGCCTGGAAGACTGCTGGGGAGTTGGACAGGCCAAAAGGCATGACCAAGTATTCAAAGTGCCCCCTGGGGGGTGTTAAAAGCAGTCTTCTATTCATCCCCCTTCCTGATGCGAACCAAATGATAAGCATTACGTAAGTCCAACTTAGTGAAGACTGATGCTCCCTGCAACCTCTCGAAAGCTGAAGACATCAATGGCAAAGGATAAGTATTCTTTACCGTGATGTTGTTCAACTCTCGGTAGTCAATACAAGGTCTCAGGGACCCATCCTTCTTACCCACAAAGAAGAACCCCGCCCTCGCTGGAGAAGAAGAAGGTTGGATGAACCCTGATGCTAGAGAATCAGAAATGTATTTCTCCATGGCCTCCCTCTCTGAGACAGAGAGTGAGTTTAACTTACCCTTAGGCGGAGACTTACCTGGCACTAAGTCTATGGCACAGTCGTGGGGACAAGGTGGAGGGAGAGAAGCAGCACGGGACTTACTGAACACTTCCTTCAGGTCCTGGTACTAGATGGGCACGTTAGATAAATCCCCTGCCTCCTCCTGAAACACAGAAACAGGTACAGATGGACAAGCAGAGACAAGACAAGATTCATAACACGGAGTACTCCACGCTAAAATGGAGTGTTGGTGCCAATCCACCCGGGGGTTATGTTCAGTAAGCCAGGGGTGGCCGAGGACTATGGGTGCTAAAGGTGAGTCCATGAGGAGAAATGGTATGTCTTCAGTATGATTGCCAGAGGTGATGTTCTGTGGTGTGTGATGTGGTGTGTGAAATACCAGGAAGTTCTTGTCCATTAAGTGCGTGAACAGATATCTTGTGGGTGAGTGAATGAACCGGAATGCCAAGTCTCTGAACGAGCTTACTGTCAATGAAGTTCCCCTCTGCTCCTGAGTCCAGTAAAGCTTGACAGGTGTGAGTGCCGGTTGCCCATCTAAGTCTTACCGGGAGGAGCGTGGATGATGGGTGATGAGGTCTTTTCGGCGGAGATCCCACCTGATAGTAGCCTCAGATTTACTATCGGGCTTGGCCTTTTACCGGGCAGGTGTTACTGAAATGGCCCGCTCCCCCGCAGTACAGTTAGAGTCCTTGGGATCTCCGCCTCTCTTTCTCCTCCCGGGAAAGCCGAGCCCCACCCACCTGCATGGGCTCGTGATCGTTGGTTTGGCTGATGTTTATCTCTTGCGAATCCATCCGGGCGATACTGCGATTGATGAACTCTTCCAGACTGTTTGTGGATCCTCCTGCTGCTTTCATAACTGGTCAGATCGTTATGTTCGGAAACGACTGGAAGCAAACTGCAGAAATAAAGTCTTTAATGACAAAACTCAGAGGCACTGGTCAGACACAAATAACAGGGACCTCGATAGGCAACCGGGTGGTGGTGATGGTCAGTGGTGATAATCCATTCCGGGAAATGTTAAGAGTGCAACGGCAGTGCAGACACGGTGAACAAATCCAGACGACGAAGACCACGAAGAAGACCACAACGAAGACCATGACACGGAACAGGAACCAACACAGGAACATACCAAAACGATCTGACAACAAGATATATCAGTCACAGAGAATATATAGCCGGGATGAAGTGATATCAGCTGGCGCTGAATAATCAGCGGAATTTAGAGGCCGCGCCCACACAGACACACACGCTAATCACACGCACACACATAACCACGAGACATGAAGAAGGCCGAGAATTCTAAAACCGTGACACAAACGTGCTGCGTAACACGAGAACGAACCTCATTGGTTCTTGCAGAAGCTTAAACGTGCTGCGTAACATAAGAATTAATCTCATTGGTTCTTGCGAAAGCTCAAACGTCCGGCGTAACACGAGAATGAATCTCATTGGTTCTTGTGGAAGCTCAAACGTGCTGCGTAAAACCAGAATGAATCTCATTGGTTCTTGCAGAAGCTCAAACATGCTAACATGAGAATGAATCTCATTTGTTCTTGCGGAAGCTCAAACGTGCTGCGTAACATGAGAATGAACCTCATTGGTTATTGAGGAGGCTCAAACATGCTGCGTAGGCAAGGCAAGTTTATTTATATAGCACATTTCATACACAATACCAGCGTAACACGAGAATGAACCTCATTGGTCCTTGCAGAAGCTCAAACGTGCTGTGTAACACGAGAATGAACCTCATTGGTTCTTGAGGAGGCTCAAACGTGCTGCGTAACACGAGAATGAACCTCATTGGTCCTTGCAGAAGCTCAAACGTGCTGCGTAACACGAGAATGAACCTCATTGGTCCTTGCAGAAGCTCAAACGTGCTGCGTAACACGAGAATGAACCTCATTGGTTCTTGCAAAAGCTCAAACGTGCTGCGTAACATGAGACTGAACCTCATTGGTTCTTGCAGAAGCTCAAACGTGCTGCATAATACAAGAATGAATCTCATTGGTTCTTGCAGAAATGAAGATCTTTTTGATGAAATTAGTTGACAGCTACGCAACTGATACTTTGATGCTTCAAAAAGTTCATAAAGAGATTGTATAATCCATATGAATTGAGCGTTTTAGTCCAAATTCTTTAAAGAGACGATTGCTTTAGTTTGCTTTAGTGCACAAACGTGCTGCATAATACAAGAATGAATCTCATTGGTTTGAGGAGGCTCAAACGTGCGTAACATGAGAATGAACATAATTGGTTCTTGCAGAAGCTCAAACGTGCTGTGTAACACGAGAATGAACCTCATTGGTTCTTGCAAAAGCTCAAACGTGCTGCGTAACACACGAGAATGAATCTCATTGGTTCTTGAGGAGGCTCAAACATGCATAACACGAGAATGAACATAATTGGTTCTTGCAGAAGCTCAAATGTGCTGCGTAACATGAGAATGAATCTCATTGGTTCTCGCACATCAAGCGAACATTCTTGAGCTTCATATACCACCACTGATGTGTGAGTTGATGGATTATACAATATGTGAAAAAAAGCCTAAATTCAAACTAAAGCAATCGTCTCTTTAAAGAATTTGGACTAAAACGCTCAATTCATATGAATTATACAATCTCTTTATGAACTTTTTGAAGCATCAAAGTATCAGTTGCGTAGCTGTCAACTAATTTCATCAAAAAGATCTTCATTTGTGTGAAGATGAACAAAAGTCTTACAGGTTTTTTTGAACGACTTGAGGGTGAGTAATTAATGAAAAAATATTTTGGGTGAACTAACCCTTTAAACTTTGTGCTAAAGAAATTATAAGAGTGTGATATGTGTTTTTATGTTAATGTAGCCTACATGTGTGTCCAGATATGTAACTCAGAGGAGATCTGGAAGCAGACTGTGATGGCTCATTGTGATATGATAAGTGAAGACATGGAAATGCTGGCGAAAGCCATGGGTTGGAAGAACATCTTCTTTAAGTTTTATTACAAACAAGAACATGGCAACATGGCCTGTCCTGCAGAGGAAGAAGATAAAGCCAATACTGCATCTCCATGAGCTATTAAATACAACTTTCAATCAACAGGACAATTAAAACGATCTCAAAGTGTTCATTAATTTACTACTTCTGTCTTTTAATGCTTGCAGTTATTGATTAAAGACTAAGTTTATGAAGCATTCAAATGAAATCCTATGCTGAGTGCCAAAATATGAAAGCATTACTTTGAAATTATTAATGTATGCAATACATTATTATAATGTTTTTATTAGTAATTCGTGAAATTCGTAATTCGTCTTTTTGTTTAGAACATGATCGAATTATTCACCCACCAGACACCAGTATATCAGCACGTCTCTGACTGTTTGGCTCTTTTCATTAACTGCAGTGTGGAAAGTGACCAGCAGATGGCGCGCGTTAATAAAGTGAGTGAATGTGCAAAACCAATGCACTGTCTTTCACTGTAGATGGTCGAAATAAAGTATCCCTTATTAAACATAAAATCACTTAATATGATCAATTCCTTGCTTTACTTCCTTATTTTAATTGTAAGTGGTTTTGAAACGGAAAGTCTTAAATATATATTTTTTAAGATTACCTAGTTATGGAATGTTCTTTTTTTTGTTTTAAAAATAGGCTATACAACATTCAAAGGCAGTCAATTTACACATACAGCTAAATAAAAATACAATTCACTGAACTTACATTGTCAGTGAATTGGGGGTAAGTTGTCACAATAGAAGCTGGTGTTTATTAACATTGATTTGAGAAGAAATATATTTAATTTATATTTCACTTTTATTTCAAGTAAAAAAACAAGCCTTCCACAAAATATTTGCATTGAAAAATATTATAGGTCATTTAATGGCTTTTCAGCACTGAGAAAACTAAATGAAACATAAAGGCCTGCTTCACAAACAGGGCTTAAATTGAGCCAGAATTTGGCCTTAGTTCAAATAGGGCATTTAAGTACCTTTAATAAATGTGCCTTAAAAATTACTGGGGTGCATCTTGAGACAAAACAATGGCACTGACATATTAGGATATGTCATGGCAATTTTCTTTCAGGTAAAACTGCTCAAACATGCATTTTAAGGTTTAAGCCTTCTGAAACCGTGTTATTTTTTTATTTTTTATATATTTTTTTATCTTTCTGCAGCTTGTATCACTCGGCCAGTAAGTGGTGACACGTGACTGTCTCACTGAGTGATTCGTTGAACAATTCTCTTCAACCTCTTGATTCATTCGAAACAGCACTCGGAGACGCAGCGGTTGATGTAAGTTACTTAATAATAATGTCTTATTTATCGAACTATAAAAGTAATCATATTCACAGTCTCGTGCTGTAGTAGGCTACTGAATATTTGCAGGGCTGTGTTTACAGCCAAATCTGCCATGTTGATTAAAGTTACCACTCATTATCGTTTGATAAATTGCAACACGTGACAAATTTGCCGTTTGCCTTTTCAGTTAAAATTTCTGGTAAAATCTTCATTATATAGCCTAGTCTACTCTGTCAATGTTTTTTTGTGATTACTTGTTCACCCAGCAGTTATATCATAAAAAAATATGATACTGGGGATGTATTTGAAGGACACACACACACACACACACACACACACACACACACACACACACATACTTGTTTTTGCTACGTTGTGGGGACTCATGACTAGAAGGTGACACGTGGGGACAGCAATTTCTAAATACAATAAAGCCATCATTTTAAGTCAGAAGTGTCTGGGGGAATTTTTGAATCCCAAAAATCAACTTTATTATCATAAATTCTTAATTTTAGAAAGCTTAATATTTGTCAGGTTTTTCTATTCTGGTGGGGACGTCCCCATTGTGTCTTACCACAAACCACCACTGTGTGGCACTATTATGAGTTATCTGTAGATTAACGATTTTTTTACACAAATTTAAACCTGTACCAGATTAACAATAAATATTAAGTTTAGATAATCATTAAAGAATTGTTTAAAAGGGAGAATTGTCTATATTTATATTTGTATGGATTTTTACTTCATTTTACAATTCACTAATTCCCTATATTTGAATAGACCATTTGTATGGATGTAAAAAGTGACAACAGCCTCACCTCACTTCCTGATTAACAGGAATCTATTTTTCTTCAACTCTGAGAATCTGAAAAGGTCCACATTTTGATAAATAAGACAGTCATGTTGTATGACAAGCAGGAAATGGTCATGGGGCATTGACCCCACGGGTATAATTGTGTTTGCTGAATAATGATCTGCGCATACTGGAATCAACTCTGAATTAAAACAGCACATGCCTGGCATTCAACAGGGTTGCGAAATATACTGCTATTTGTGTTTTTCTTATTCGTAATACTACAAATTTGTCACGTACAGAAACCTGGGAAGCCCCATGAGTCCAATATGTATTAATTCGTTGTGGAAAAAATCGCCAAACAATACAAAACAGTCTTTAAGCAGTGAGGATGATTTTGTTGTCCTCTCTCTTCTTAAAAAGAGAAAAAGAAAAGAGGAAATCTTTTATCCTTAAACTCAACACAAAACTGTATTATCTATCTGTATTATCTATCAATCTGGCATCTGTATGTCTTTATATCGGTCTGTTTATCCATCTATATTTTTTATGCAAGTGTGCCACAATTTTGGGACCACACCGAATTCTTTTGAGTAGAAGACATTTGACGTAGAACCCCCATAAACTTCCCCAAGAGAAGTTTGGACATTTGGGCTATTACAAAAAAAAACAAGAATCTATGTTTTCTTAATGCTCTTGAACATTTATTTAAGTACCAGTGTTTTCACTTGAGTTTTGAAACACATTTTGAACTTGTTGCCCAAACAGAAAATAAACCCCCATCTAGGTAAAGGACTTTTACATTTTTCGCTTTAAAGCATACGATTTTTAACATAAAATTTCACCCCCTCCCAACTTCTCCCCTGAAGTGCTGCTGGTGACCTTTCAATGCACTCCATGCATTGGGCTTTACCAGGAACCTTCCCAGAGTGGATGTTGTTCATCAGAGTGTTTTCCACAGCCTGGATCTCCTCTTTAGACCACTTTCTCCGTGGGTTTTGTGAAGATACTGAATAAAATAAAAATAAATATTAGTAATTGTGATTGGGATAAAAGTTATTTTTATTTTATTCCCACACGACATGAACGTGAATAACATATCAAATAAATACATGGTCTTTGTTTTTTCTCTCATTTCTTTACAGTTTTATACATACATGTTTGCTAAAATCTAGTTATCATGGTTGAAAATGTGACAATATTTAGGCTTTATTGGTCTTAACCATAAAATACTGCTTGGGAAATTGAAGAAGTAAATTCTTTTCTTTACATGTTTAAGCCTTTAGAAACTAAACATTTTAGTTATAGGACCTAACTAAAGCTGCCGCACCCCACAGTGTTTTCTTCTTGACAAATTGTGCAGTCTTTACAGTCTTTATCCAGGGGGGGGGGGGGGGGGGGGATTTAATTAAAAAATATTTTTTTTATTTGATGGGGGAAGTTTAGACTTTTTTTTTAATTACTTTTATCTCCTATATGCTCACTCATTGCATTTTTACAATGGGGTATTTTTGTTCTTAAGAATTTATACAACACAAGGAAGCTTGATTTCAATCTTTGAATTAAATTGAAAAAAAGTAGCACAAATAAATACAATAGAATAAAGATACCTATAAAGAGAAAAGTTTTTGCTTAGGTCTGACACTAGTATTCAGAAATACTACAGAGACTGAATAAATTAATCAAATGTAAAATAACACAGGGTAGTATTTTAGTCCTGACTAAATTAAATACATAGGATATTAATCCTGATTCATTAAAATTAAAGCTATGTTTTGTTGTTTTGACAACCAAATTACTGACAGACTAGACATATGGCTGCTGTCACTGTGAGCTCGTGCACAGATCCTGTAGTACCAACATTATACGGTCACGTGCGATGTATGCTTATTAAGACATAACCGAATGTGTTTAGAGGATACTCACCAAGACCGAAATTGACATGATTTTCGCATGTTTTTGACTGTTAAAGTGATATAATCCACGAAAAATAAAGTTTGTTACCCGTGAGCTGTTTGTGAGGCGGCTTGTATGTGTGACGAAAAAAAACCCGACAGAAATCTCGACAGCGCACAAGTAGCCTACCGAATAGTTTAAGATCACGTGAATGTTTAAACTGGTGAGACTTAAGAAGACGTAAGAAGCCTTTTCTAGCTTTCTTATCATTCCCTTTCAGTAGCTGACTACATACCTGCTGAATCTGAAGGTGAAGCACCATTTCCAGTCTCATTTTCAGAGTCTGATCCATCACAGTCCATCAGTACTTTCTCTATAAAACACAGTAACCATACAGATAAAATTAATAGGTAACAAACTAAATATTTTTATATTGTCTATAACCACGGGTGCACATAACTGATATGCAGCTATGCATGTGCGACAAAAATCAGGAATGCGTAATGCGACGGTTATTCCGCACCTTTGCATACTTAACCGATCTTCTCATCTAACCTTACACATGACATGTTGCTTGTCAACTAAGTTATACTGTCAGAGATGTCCAAAAAGCAACAGACATTAAGCAGCTTCTTTGGCGTTTCGCCACCTACAAAGAAACGCCAACTGGAGCCAGAGCCGAAAAAAAATACTTTGTTGCTTGAAGCTAACGATGAGTGCACTGAAATGTGGTGCAAGATTTGCCGATCAAGTCCACATCTAGCAGACAAAACAGGTGCGTTTTATAAAGGAAATTCTCAAAGAATTTCAACCATCCTTTATTTGACAAACATGAAAAGAGCAAGGAGCACACAAATGTGGCACAAGCTATTGTTAATAAACAAGCTAGCCGAGAAGAAATGTCCAGTTGCCCCACTTGCCAGATGGCGAGACAAGCTGAATGAAGAACAGCGGCAAGTTTAATGTTTTTCTCCTCACCTACTATTACGACGTGGTGCAGCACGATTCACTACTATTACGACGTGGTGCAACACGATTCACTACTATTACGACGTGGTGCAGCTTGATTCACTACTATTACGACGCG